TAAAGTCAGAATTCTGAGATTAAGGTCAGAAATTTGAGATTAAAGTCAGAATTCTGATATTAAAAAGTCAAAAGTTTTTTTTCAGTGGCTTCTACTTCTACGGAAGAGGATTAGGGCCACTGGAAAAAAAAAAGTTAACTGATTTTTACGTTTTATTTCAGCTTAGTATGGGAAAAAGTCAGAATTCTGACTTTTTTCTCAGAATTCTGACTTTTTTAATAGTCAGAATTCAGTAAGAATTCTAAAAAAGTCAGAATTCTGAGATTAAAGTCAGAATTCAGAGAAAAAAGTCAGAATTATTTCAGTTTCCCATACTAAACTGAAATAAAATTTAAAAATCAGTTAACTTTTTTTTTTCAGTGGCCCCAATTCTCTTCTGTACTCTTCTGTATGTATGCCTTCATAATGTATCTTTAGTTTGATATTTACTGCTTTTAATTTTTCCAGCTTAAGTATTTTTGGCTCAATTGCTAGTTTTATTTTTACTTTTCATCCAAACTGTAATTTTTTTTTTCTTATGTTAACGTTTATTATTTAAATCTATTCAGTTTTTCTTATGGGTCTGCTTTTACTTTTAGATTTAAATTCCACATAAAAAATATCAGTCAACAAACATTCATAAGGTACGCCTTAAAAATAATGTATTTTTCATGAATTAAAGTCTATTATTTTAAGTACAGCTTGGAATTATTATGATATAAAAAATGTTTCATTAATTATCCAAGCAAAAATAACCAAGCCGTTGGGTATTTTAGAAAGAGAAGCAACATAAGGCTTAACAACCAGACTTTCCTTTAGGAGTTAATCTTGTTTTTCATGCCTGTTTCTCTGGGATTAAACGGCTTTCTCTCTGGTGAGGAAAATAAAAAGGCTCGGTGAAGATGAACACTCCCTGAAATGTTACCATCTCTTTCCGCAGGAGAGCCAGAGCAGCGTCCAGGTTGGCAGGCTTGCTGGCCAGGAGGCTGTCGGTGTTGTTCCTGCCTCGGCTCAGGTCGTCCTGGATCATGGTTTTCTTCACGTACATCCTCTCCATTTCTCTCCACGAGCCGCCGCTCGAGTTCAGCAGCCCGCTGAGGCTCTTCGGCAGCGGCGGTAGACCCTCGATACAGGCCATTCCTCCCAGCGTACCGTTAGCGGACTTTCCATTCATGTTTCCGAGTGTCGCCGAGTGAGGACGGGCTGCTAATAAACGCAGGTCCTGAATGGTCAGTTGTTAAAGCCTACAGACACAGAGAGGGCGCAGCCGTCTGCTGAGCTGAACACACCAAGCAACAGTCGTGGCTTTCTCTGCCCGAGGCGGAGAGGGACGCTGCGATAGTATAACTCAACCAACGACGTCACACTTCCGGGACGATATCACAAAATAAAAGCATAATCTCCTAAACCGCAATTCAACTACAACTGAGCATTTTAGTTATTTTTAATTCAGACTTCTAAAGCATAAAAGGAAAAAATATAAAATATATAGAGTGGTGTCAAAAGTACACACATACTTAAGTAGAAGTGTAGATACT